TCATCCTGAGGCTAGATATCCTCAAGAAATACTCTATTTTTCCTAAAAATGTAATTTTAAAGCTCCTAGCACCTTCTAAGAGTAATTTTCCAAGTATGATTATGATCTTTATTTGAATGGAAATATTCATTCACACATGATGCAAATTTCATTAGCATTACATGGCAGAGTTGATTTTTTTTTCTGGCATAATTATTGTTTCTCTTTTATTCTGTTTACAAATAATTTCACCCCTTTCATTTAAATCACATAAGAATGCAAACTGTACATAGTGGCTTGATAATCTTCCAACCAGATTTCTGGAATAGCAACTTAAAATTCTGAGAGTATAAATTAAATTCATCTTCCTTAGCAAGTATTATGATTTATTGAGATCTCTCCAGTGCCAACAGTGTGTTTAGCTTTGCAGAAGACATAAAGGAAAAGCCTGCCATTCTTATCAATCTACAAAAGGCAAATGAACCAGTTGCAACTGGAAAAAATTCATGGGAACAAAACCAAACCATCCATTAAAGAAGTCCTCGGTTCCTCCTCCAGAGATGGCCAGTAACAGAAGACAAGTCAGTGGATGTGCAACTCTGTGGTCCATGAGGCTGAGGGAAAGAGGATAATGCCAGCAACCTACGTGCTGGCCGCTGCCTCAGACCTGTGCAGTCCTTTGAGCCGAGCGGGGCAAGAAGCAGCTGCTGCGTCTCACCACGGTCTCTCTACTGTCACCGAGTTATGGGCAGCTCACAGTTCAGAAGAACTCAGGCTGATTTGAGCAGCCTTCACTTTGGGAGTAACGCTACCAGAGAGGATGCCCAGTCCTTGAGATTTTGATTCTGGGTCAAAAAGAGCAAAGAGAAACAGGTATAGATTCCTCAGTCCTTCCCTCCTTCTTTCCTTTCTCCTTCTTCCTTCTATCTCTTTTTAGAGGAGTTTCTAAGACATTCATGTCTTGGCATCCTAGAGCTTCTGGAAAGGTCCTTAGAAACTGAGGCCCACAGAGGGCAGCTGACTTGCCTGAGAGCACACGGCTAATTCCTGTGGAGCAAAGACTAGAGCCTAGGACATCTAACCACGCCACTGATCTTGTTCCTTTCCTATAGTGATGACCATTCTTTTTCTCCAATGAGACAGGCAGCATGAGGAAGCAGACCCCTGCATTTTGAGGGAAAAGACGACAACTAAAAAGAGTGACTGGTGTTCTCTGGAGGAAGCTCCCGTGACAGATCCTACTAATGAAACCCAGCTGTGGACAAACAGACAAGGTCAATGCTAATGCTTGCTCACCCCAAGGAAATGTTTATGCTCCCGTGAACTCGGGACCAAATGGGTAACAGAGCATCATGTGAATGTGGATTCAGAGCCACTCGCAGGCACCGAAACCCCCATTTTCTAGTAGTGAAGGATTAGAATTGACTCTCAAGTCCCAACAGGAATCAGAAGTCATTCAGAGATAGCCACTTAGTTGACGTAGGCTGATGCCAGCCTAAGTGGAATGGCAGCGAGAGGCAGGAGGTGCTATCATAACTGGGAAATGGGAACTGGGACAGTGCAGCTGTCAGGCAGCCAAGGACCCTGCAGGATACACACAGGGGCTGCACCGAGTCGACTGTGATAGGGACAGTGACCCTGCAGCGCGTGCAGGTAAACTGCAAACATTTCTCTCTACTCAAGTCCCTGAGTGTGATTATCCAGTTTGTAGGGAAACATTAAAAAAAAATCTATGTGGAGGCCAGGGATAGTGGCTCATGCCTGTAATCCCAGTACTTTGGGAGGTGGAGGTGAGAGGATTGCCTGGTTTAAGACCAGCCTGGGCAACTTGGCAACACCTCATCTCTACAATAAATCAAAAAATTAGCCGGGTGTGATGGGGCACACCTCTGGTTCCAGTTACTTGGAAAGCTGAGGCAGAAGGATGACCTGAATACAGCTGGTCAAGGCTGCGGTGGCTGTGAGCATGTCACTATACTCCAGCATGGGTGACAGAGAGAGACTGTAAAAAAAAAAAAGATTGACTTGGAAAATACTTTTTCTTATTGTAGCACTGTCAATATCTATAGCTATGCTTTTTGAGTCAGGGTCTTACTCTGTTGCCCAAGCTGGGGTGCACCAGCACCATCCATCTCACTGCAGCCTCGACCTCCTGGGTTCAGTGGATCCTTCTGTCTCAGTCTTCTGAGTAGGTGAGACTACAGGTGTGTTCCATAACATTCGGCTAATTTAAAAATTTTTTTTGTAGAGATGAGTTCTCACTATGTTGCTCAAGCTGGTTTCAAATTTCTAGGCTCAAGCAATCCTCCTGACTCAGTCTCCCAAAGTGTTGGGACTATAGGCATGAGTCACCATGCCCAGCCCAAATCTATATTTTAAAGAATAGGTTTTAGATGTAAATGTTTTTCTTTTCAGAAAGACTCTATTCTGTTACCTTTCACTGACTGCTCAAGGAACCTTCTCCTGAGAGTACATGGGACTGGCAGGAGAGGCAGGCCAGGCACCATACGGAGATAGTTAGAGGCTCCCCAGTATCCACTCTCCCCTTCTTCCTTACTAACAGAATCATATTGGTGGTGGCAATGTAGCCAAAGAAAATAAACATTTTCCAGCTCCCTTGTAACTAGAAAGTCACATGTGGCTAAGATCTGGCCAATAGAGATAACAGAAATGACCGGGTAGTCTCTGAGAAAATGCCTTAAAAAGTGGGGATGACTCAACTGGCAGTTACCTTTTGTCTTTCCCTGTTCCTCCTTCCTGCCCAGAACAAGGAAGTGATGGCCGTGTGGAGGCAGCCATATTGTAACTCTGAGGCAAGCCTGAGGATGAAAGCCAAAAGATGAGAGTGGTATAGTGAAATGATTAAAGGAGCCTCTACACCAGACTAGCATGGCCTCCTTGGACTTTTAAAAAAATGTATTTTAAAGGAAAAACAAATCCCTACTTGTTTAACCATTATTTTTTCCCATTGTTTGTAGCCAAATACATTTCCTAACAGAAACACATACACATATTCATTCAACCAAGAGGTCCTGTCACTGAACAGTGAGGCAGGAACCACCAAATATTTAAGTAAAAAGGAAGAGCAACAACAGGATATTGATCCCCACTGGACTAAACATAAATTCCAACTCAGAGACTGCGATTAAAATAATGGAGAGGAAAACATCCCAACCCAAACTACCAGTTTCTATGACTAGAGAGATATTTTGTTGTGACCCAGAGGACTGATTGAGAGCTACAAATTGAGCAAAGGCTTCAGGCAAGTATCTTAGAAAAATCATTCTTAAAGAAATGTAGCCTCTGGGCAAAACTGAGGAGAATGAAAATGGTGGCACAGAGAGTGAGAGTTCACCAGCAGCTTCCTCTGATTTAGGAATGTAAGAGCTTCAGCGAGTGATTGCAAACCACTGGAGCATTATTCTCATTATTACTAATGGTTCTTAATAACTAAGGGGCAATGTTGGGTCTCTAGTTGGCTGAATTGACCAGAAATTGCTTGTTGCAGTTATACTAATAATGAAATATAATTTAACACTAAATTACAATTCCAGATTATATAACTTTCTGCATAGTCTCTGATTGCAAAGGAAAACAGCCAGAATGTCAATAAATAGAATAATCTAATTAAGTATTTCTCCATTTGGGAACTATTTAGAAGTGAGAGTTTAACAGGATAGTGAGACAGGGCAAAACAATCCAGTACTTGCTGATTTAAAAAGTCACAGCTTTTTTGTAAGACAATGATTTTTGTTATTTTGAAATATGTGTTCTATCAATCTGAACGGCTTTGGTCATTTACGTAGTAAATTTAACCACTATCAATTCTTTCTAGTTATGAGGCATAGTTTTCCATTAGTACATTTACCTGTACTTTAACACTAAATATAAGCATCTTTTTAATACTCGAAGTGTCTTTATACACATATTCCTAATCTTTTTTTGTGCACTATGTAATAAACAGCTACAAGCCATGAATCACAAATATAGGAAGGACTGATAAAAACATCTATATTTCTTTTAGCTACATTTAGATGGAAAAATGATAGCTAGTACCCTAATTATAACCTATGCTGATACAGTAAGTCCCCTACATATGAACCATCAAGTTGTGTTCTTTCAAAGATGCAAATGTGTGTTTGCATGTCCAATCATGTAAGTTAGTTCACGTGCCTGGCACACATTGTCATGTGCGTGCATACTCTACAAGTGGTTGCACTTCTGTGTACTTTACTGTACAGTACTGTATAGAATACAGTATCTTTTTTTAACATATTTTTTTTAAATTGTGGGGTACTAGTACAGTATCTTTATTTCAAGCCTGGGATGTCTGGAAGCAAGTGTAAAAGCAGCAGTGATATAGCTGGTACAATATAGCCAATTGCTAATTGGGTACCCAGACTAACTGTTGGACTTACGGACAAAATGGACTTACGAGTGTGCTCTCGGAACCGAACTCATTCATATGTAGGGGACATACTGTATTGCTGTTAACATACTTTGCAGGGTTTTGCCAGGGATAGATTCACCCTCCATTGGAAAGAGAACGGTATTTGCCTGCAGATGCAGAAATACAAGGGAAGAGATTTGCTAAGGAGTGAGCTGAAGCAACTTCATGGATTCAGTGACTATGCTCTGAGCTTCTGTTAGCCTGTGGGGAGCAGGTACTTGATAGATGCTTGTTCAGTGAAAGAGCTACCTCATACTCTTCAGAGATGGTGTTCCTAGAAGCATCCATAGGCAGTGGAGACAGCCTGGGCGACAGCCTGGGCTATATCCTTCAGGCTGAATTCCTGTAGGGAAGGTGGTGGCATATCCAGTGTAGAAATCAAGGTACAATCAAATTCCCCAGGAAAAGCCTCCACTTCCAGAGCTTGAGTATCCTGTAACACCTGCTTTGGCAAGGACACCTTTGATGATGCTTACCTACTATGAAAACATATACACATAGATGGCCTCCGTGGTACTAACTACTGGAGGGACACTTACACAATGCTCAAGGCCACTTAAAAGATACTTACTGCTGGTGGAGGACAGGTGGCTGTAGTCAGACCTGAAACACAAGACCTCGGTGTTAGTAAGATTCTTTATCCAAATGATTCATTCAAGCCAGAATTTTAAAGAGTCAGCGACAAGTAGCGTTTAAGTGGTAAAGAAATGTCACTATTTAAAAACTGTAGGCCACGTGTGGAGACTCATGCCTATAATCCCAGCACTTTGGAAGGCTGGGACCATCCTGGACAACATAGCGAGACCTCGTCTCCACAAAGAATAAAAAAATTAGCGGGGTAGGGTGGTGTGCACCTTTAGTCCCAGCTACTTGGGAGGCTGAGGTGGAAGGATTGCCTGAGCCCAGGAGGTTGAGGCTTCTGTGAGCCATGACTGTACCACTGTACTCCAGCTTGGGGGACAGAGTGAGACTCCGACTCAAAAAGACAAACAAACGTCCATCTGGAGTGCTGAGCTGTTTGGATGTTATGCAAGACAAAGTTATGTCTGAATTTGAAAGCAAAACTTTAAAGGCATTTTAGAGATCTGGAGTCCTTCACATGGGCTCTGTGAAGCCTTCTAATGGATGGAAGGTCTCCAGCCATCTACATTTGCTGCCAAATTTTTAAATTTATTTTTCTGGGGAGGAGGCCCAAAGTATCTCAACAGATTCACAACTCCCTAGGTCAAGTCTCTGCAAGTGAGCACCCTTCGAGTGTTTGCACCTGAACACTATGGGAAATGTTTCTTTGCTGACATAGGCAGAGGACCACAGGGAGGAGGGAGAGCAGCTCAGCTGTGACGCGGTCCACATTCAAGGTATGGGGGGCCACCGGGAAACACAAAGGCACAATGACGTTTCCACAGATTTCAGTTCCATCTGAGCAGAAAGCCTGCTGGATGTGAGAGTAACAGGATAAGGCTGTGATAGGGAAAGGGACAAGGCAGGCTTTGGGCTGGGGTAAAATTACCCTTTCGCTTTCCATGCTGAAAAATCAGCTGCTGGCATTCCGCCTCTGTGAGAGTGGGGATCTGGCCAAGGAGCTGCTTAATCTCTACTAAATTTCTGCCCTACTTATGTGGCTGTTAAGACTTCTCTCTCTGGCAACAAATTTGGTCTGGAAGCTATTTATTTTCTTCCCCCGGTATCCCAAAGTCATTCTCAGTAGGAAATTAATCACTTAAGCACGTAGGGATTTATTCTGCCTGCGTAGTTAGGGGATGTAGTTATGCAAATAAACTGCTTAATTATGTTTAATTTTATAGATATACATTCCTTTTATCTCCTTAGGCTCATGTTGCCTTTCTTGAATCATCCAATTTTCACTCCATTGAGCATCTTGCCACATTAAAAAAAAGTGCATACACAACTTTTTTTTAATCATAAGAAGTATGCCTTTTACTAGTTAAAATAACCTATGTCACCAACAATAATGCATTGATTTATTGGTAGAAGAACCAAATGAAAGAAAAACGGCATGCGGCTTTCTCTTTTTCAAATGAAATACTTTAGTAATCATGGAATCATTATATTTTAAAACTGGAAAGAATAACAACTACTACTCACAGTTGCATATCCCTTTATATGTTACAAACTGCATTCATTTATCATCAATTTGACTTCTGATTGTATTGCTTAGGAGAATAAAATGATCCTGTATGTAAGGAGATTGAGAGGTGAGAAGGATAAGAGCTTGAACCGAGTGTGCAGGGTGGGTGGCAAGAAAGAAGTCAGAAGGTAGATTGGCCAGGACACGGTGTAAGGAAAGCAAAAGAGAGAAGAGAGTCGAGAACCGGTGACATTCTGAAACCCAGGATTTGGAACCCCAGTACCGGTGCCTTCAATACTTTCTGGAACCCGTCAGGACATAAATAAACTTCAGAACAATACTTAGAAATATAGCTATATATACACTTAGTGACTCCTCAACAAACATCCACTGCGGTAGAGGCAACGGGAAAACAATTTCATGACAATATGATCATCCTAAGATGGCCAAACTTTAAAGAAGTTTCATGACTATTCAAATACAACATACAATAAGACTGCATGGCATTACTATTTCTTTTATTCTTAGAAAAGCGTCTGTATTTTCAGCTAGGATTTTCCAAATACTGCTGGAGCAGATGGGGCTCCCATATGCATACATTTTAAAGATCTGCATACAGATGGATATGGATGTAGAATGAATTTTACACTTGAAACAGAGTTCAAGAATCTTAAAGTGCAACGGTATTTTAGTGTTTTAGGACAGGTGCTGGCATAACGGATGCCCCTCCATGAATCCCTCGAGACTAAAGGCACCAGCGGGTCAGGCCTGCCAGGTCTGACAGTCACACTCGTCCTGCTCCAATTCATTCCCCATACAGCAGCCAATCTTCACAAAGCACAAATCCGATCATGTTTCTCTCTGGGTGAGATTCAAAGTCACTAGTGGAACACACAAACCCCTCTCTCCAAGGCGGACAGCCCAGCTATGCTGCCCAACTTGCATCCCTGTCCACCGTCAAAACAGAAATCACATAAAGTCCCCGAAGCCTCACTTGCTCTCCAGCCTCTGATCCTCAGTAGATGCAGTTTGTACATAGTTGCTATAATAATGGAGATCTGATTTTGAACTGCTCTTTTAGCTTGACACCACCACATGTGCTACGTAGTTCCTGTTCTTATCATTTTAGATGAGGTGATGTATCATTTATTCCACCATTTCCCTCTGGCTGGCTCTATGATTGTTACTGATTGTTCACTTTTACAAAACACATGGCAATGAGGTATTTGTGAATTTGAGCTTTATATTTATTTTCTTTTTCTTAAAAAAATTATGAGTGGAAATATAGACTGAGTCAGCGCTTAAAATATATTCCAAATAACCCCAAAAGATTATTTACTGGAAATATTGCCAGTGAAAGACAAACTTTAAGCTTAAAATAATTCTGTACATAATAAGTCATTTCAAAACAATTTCAGAGAACAACCAGGTATTTGATGAGGATCCTTTGGAGAAGTTTGTACTACCTGAACTCTTTTTAGGGTGGAAAGGAACTGCAGGAGGGTACCTGCCCTGAGATTTCTGTTTATTGGTCTCACAAATGTATCCAACCAGCTCTGCACAGGACATTCAACCCTGCCAGAATGAAGTATGGATGGTGAATTTAGAAGGAACAATTTATGGACACAGGATATGGATGAGCAGAATAGTACACAGATTATGTACTTTCACATACCTGACGCATAGAGACACATTTCCAAACATTGTATTTATTTAGTATTGTGCCAGTAATGAACAGCAAGTTAGATGCAGTTCCTTGATTGTATTCTAATTATAATTATACATATAGGGATTATATATAAGGGGATTCTGTATTTAAGAGAGTTTACCACAGTCAGAAGCCCAGTTACCAATTGATATATAGTATAGGTGAGTGAATTGCCTGAGCCCGCGGGCGCGAGACCCGCCTGGGCAACTTGGCAAGACCTCATCTCTACAAAAAAATCAGCTGGGCATGGTAGTGTGTGCCTGTAATTCCGGCTATTCGGAAGGCTGAGATAGAAGGATTGCCGGAGCCCAGTGGGTCGAGGCTGCAGTGACCGGGAGCAGCCACTGCACTCCAGTCTGGGCGGCAGAGTGAGACTCCAACTCAAAAAAAAGAATACCTTCCTAAATTCTCTTTTCCAGGAAAATTGTGGCATAAGAATTGATCTTGGCATTTCTGTAAAATTGATCTTGGTGTTTCTGTAAAATGTCAGCTCAATGTATCATGGACCTCAACTGTTAACTATTAGGGCACTGAGTGAAATGCTACGTGATTTAGAGTTAACTAATTCCATCCTGAACACAAAGATAACAGAATACTAACAGATCATCTAGTCATCTCTATAAGACTTCCCCTTTTATCTTTTAAAAAAGCCTGCCCCAATTTTAAATGTATTCCACCTATTCTTTTCCATCCACCTGTTTAAACTCTGGACTCATGAGTCATTGGCTATCCCTTAAGTCACAGTGAGGTATCAGTTGGAGGTCACCCAAAGAAACCTGGCAGGTTTGGCCCTCTGTGTTCAGAAGCTCAGTGACAGCTGACATGGAAGTAGAAGACCATTAATGCCAGAGCAGACCACTGAATGAAAATAATCCATCACATTTGAAAGAGTGGCTTAGAGGCCAAACCTTGGAGACATCACCAATGAAACAGTCACTATAAAGCAATGACTTTTATTTGGGTTTACAAGGAACTGCCTGTCCCTCTATTCAGGGATTGTGTTTCTTAAGACATTTTAGCACCATCAGCAGCTGACTTGCCATTTTTTTCTAACAGTAAGTACACAGATGCACAAGGCTTGCTTTCAAGTGGATTTGGAAAATGGGAGCTTCAAAATAACATCAATTGCCACAGAAGAATACTAGTTTGCTTTTTGTCTTGACCTGTATTAGGTAGGTCAGACAGCAAAAGCGGCATTTCAAGCAAAAGGACATGTTTGAGCCGAAAACAAGAATTAATTGCAGATCAAATAGCTCCTTGAGAGGCGACCTCTCTAGGTGGGAAGGACGCTGGAGACCCAGGCTTCAATTCACTCCGATAACGAGCCATGTGCCCTCCAAGCCTCCATCTCCTCCCCTGTAAAATAATAATTATGATACCAAGGCAGGCTCTGTAGCCTCTCAGGTGTTCTGAACGATGATTAAATTGCTTAAGGTATTGAAAAGCAACAGAGTATCCAGGGTGATGATATAAAGAACCTATGATCTTGAGCTCACCATTTTATGATATAAAACTCTTAAGTTTATCATTCAGAGTGTTCTTCAAAACAGTAATAAAAGTATGGTGAGAAATAAGAGCATCCTGAGGGTTTACTTATGCCAGGCACTGTTCTAGGGGCATTAATTGCATAGACTCACAAAAACCCTATGGGGTAGGTACTATCATCATCATTCTCATTTTAGAGAGGAGGAAACTGAGGGCAGAGAGAGGTCAAGTCATTGGTTCAAGGTTCCACCATTCCTAAGTGGAGGAGCCAGAATTCAAATACCAGCAGGCTGGTTCTTGTCATTGTAACTTTCAAAGTGACTGGCACAGCCTGTCCCTGGCAGTGGGACCCACAGCACAGAGTTTCTTGAAATCCTTTCTTCCATCATGCTGTGGAAAGGACAATCATCTTAATACGCTAAACCCCTTGCTCCTATGTTTTGTTCACATCCATCTAGCAATGGTCCCCCTTTGCCCACACCTTGATGACCCCAACTACTCACTATTTCTCTCTGCCTGACCCTAAGTAGGTGAGCATTGCAGCAGGAAAATAAATAATAAGGTAGACTCACATCTCCATAAATATGTAATCACAAATCTCAGCTGAGCTCTCGTGCAACATTGTCCCAAGCAAGTAATTCAAATCTCCATTCTCCTGGAGGTGGAGGGTATTTACAACAAATGAAAACCCCATCTTCCCTTTCCTTGTCTAGTTGTAGGAGGAGATGTCCTGCCTCCTGCCTAGAGCCATCCATCCACCTGTTGGTCCATCTGCCTCCACCTCTTCAGCAAACTGACACTACAGCTGATCATCTTTCCCTGTATTTTTATCCTTTTCCTTTTGCAAAATTCTTTCTATTGGTGCGATTGCCCAATCAGCGCCAATGGTCAGGAAATCCTTCCCTCACCCACTCTCCTCTCCAGTCACTGGTTCTCCTAAACTCTCCTTTTTCCAGACAAAGAGGAATCCAGCTGTCTCCTCTTTCTCACCTTCTACTGCCTGCGGGAGTGACTCTAATCTGACTTCTGGCTGCACAACCCACTGTTAAGTACTATTCTACCATCATTTAATTACTTCCACAAAAAAAAAAAAAAAAAGACATGTCCCATTTCTCAGCTTTATGAGTTTCTCAGTAGCATAGCTAATTTCTCCTTCCTTTCTCAAAATCTGTCCCCCTCACAGCTTCTATGGCAGCACATTCTTCCTTCCTTCACTCCATGCCTACTCTTAGGTTCCTCTATC